GTCTACATAATCTATGCCCATCATTTTAATGTATTTTTAGAAAGAAAATGAATTGGAGAATAATTGCCTTTGATATGCAACCATTCATCTAACATTTCATCAAGAGCTGAATGTAAGTCATTTCATTTAATTCTTATGATAAACATAAAAATCATAATTATTAAACTTATTTTTGGATAAGAACAGTGAGTATTAAGAAATTAAGTAATGTATTTAATATTGCTTGGTGGGCTGAGAGTGGTGGACCATGCCTGTAATTCCAGTGTTTTGGGAGGCTGAGGCTGGAGGATCACTTAAGGCCAGGAGTTTGAGACCAAACTGGGCAACTTAGCGAGACCCGTCTCTACACAAAATTAAAAAAAATATTAGCTGGGGGTGGTGGTGTATGCCTGTAGTCCTGGTTACTCTGGAGTCTGATGTGGGAGGGTTGCTTGAACCCAGGAGATAGAGGCTGCAGTGAACTATGTTAGTGCTACTGCACTCCAGTCTGGGTGGTAAAGTGAGACATTGTCTCTAAAATAGAAAAAAAATTAAAAAGAAAAAGATTGCTTAGCAAAGAGGCAAGGAAATCAAGTTTAGGGGTGGGTTGATTGACTTCAAAGCTATAGTCTATGTTTGTTTGTTTGACCTGCACCCCCGTCCCTCATGGACATCATGAGCTTCTCATCAATAGTGAACTGCCTCCTTGGTCTCATCAGTTTTTAATTAATGATAGAAAAAATATGCAAGCATCTCATAGTAATACATAGAATATAAAATATGCAAAATAATGGGGAAATAGTAAAAAGCTCCTATTGCTTGATGTTGAAATTATCTCCTATTTTCTATTTTGTGGTCCCTCTACCAGAGTGCAGAAGCCTGAAAATGAAGAATTGTGTCTATTTCTGTCTATGGAATATTAGTCCCTCAAAAGTCATGTCTATTTCATCTATGGAAAATTAGTAGTTGTCATGTGGTAGGTGATGATTAATTGAACTTGTGTCAGCTCTGTGACAAAGAGAAAGATAAATTAGTTTTGATGGGGTTTGATAACTGATTATGAAAATAGTCATAAAGAATGAGTCCTTGAGTATGACTGGAAAGATACTTTAGATTTCAGTGAGGCAAAGATGTCTTCTAAGTAAAAGAAGTAGAAGATCTCAAATCACAGGACTTGAAATTACATGTCAAGTCATGATTTCTTTTAGACCCTGGCTTACAGAATTTGTACTCTTGCTTCATTGACTGATTCAACATTTCTGCAACTAATTTTTTCTGAGATTCAGTGTTTCTTTCTTCTTAATTTTTAATTTTAAATATGTGGGGGTACAATTCAAGGTTAGGTATACAAATGTTCATTAGTTTCAGTGTCTCTAAAGATGTGGTTCATAGTCAACAGTAAAATGTATGATAAATAAAAAGTAAAATGCAAAAGCAAAAATAATAGTGCTGTCACATTCCACAAATGTTTAAGAATATGCTCTGTGCAAAGTACAATTATGTTAAATGAATTTATAGTTGAAAATGGAGAGATTAGGTGTGCTTACAAATAACTATAATATGAAACAGAAGAGCATTAAGTCCCATAATAGGAAAATGAACAATTGACCTGGAGTTAGAGGACAGATGAATGTCCTTGTAGCATAGAGGGGTCTACACTTGTCTTTATAAGAAAGGGGAATTTAGACAAGACACACACAGAGGGAAGACAGTGTGAAGACACAGGAGAACACGGTCATCTATGAATCAAGGAGAGGGGCTGATACAGACCCTTCACACTTATACATCAGAAGGAACCAAGTCTTCCAACACCTTGTTCTCCAACTTCTAACCTCCAGAATTTTGAAAAAATAAATTTCTGTTGTTTAAGTTACTCAGACCATGGTACTGTGTTATGGCAGCCCTAGAAAATAAATACCTCCATCATATACATTTCCTAATATCTCAATTTGATCAGGTAGCACTTTGCTGAAAATTCTTTTATCCTGATCCTGGAAGAAATCCAAATCCTTAAATGTTTTTCGTGGTTTTTCATTATCCTGTTGGCCAATTTTATATTTTGTTTTGTAATCTTATTGTTCTCAGTTTCTTAACTAAAATTCTTAGCACTAAATCTTTGCTTCAGATATTAATATCAGCTACTATAATTTTTACTATTATAGTTTATTATCTATTAAGAATTTTATAATACCAGACACCACTCTAAAAACTCTATATGTGGTAGCTTATTTAGTCCTTACAACAACTCTATGGAGAAGGCAGTGAGATTATCATTCCCAATTTATAGATAAGAAAACTAAGGTACAGTAAAAACACACAACTAATAATAAACGGCAGAGCCACCATTGGAGTCCAGGCATAGCAATGCCATAATCCATGCACTTAACTGCTATAATAATAGTAGTAGTATAGTAATTCACCTCATTGAACATTGACTTTATGACTAAAAACGTTATATGTATAAGTAGCTTAATTCTTACAACAACTATTGGGCACACAATATATTATTTCCATTTTCCAGATAGAACACAGAGGCAAATAAGTGTTAAAAGATTTCCCCAAGGCCACCATGGTAGCATATGATGGAACACAGACTCCATCCCAGGTAATCTGATAGCAAAGCCTCTGTTCTTCTCCACCTAGATACTGCCTTCCAAAAAGCAAGAGTCTCTCTGATTCTGTCTTTCCAAATCCACCTACTTTTCTAAACTCAATTCAAAACTCTCTATTAAGCCTTCTCTAACTTTTGTGGCCAACTGTACTTTCCCACCTTAAAATCTCAAAAGCAGAGCATATCATTTGTTCAAGATAATGGGTGGATGGGAATGTTTAATGATACTTGCTGAATATTAACATTGCTTCTCTGGTTGATGCTTTATCTCTATATACCAATCACATACTTGGGGGGAGGGACCCAATGTAGAAACCCTTTCTTAGTGTTGGGGATAAACTCTCAATCTTAACTTTAATTGAACTGCCTTTAATTTCCTGTTAGATGCTTCACGGCATTTATATTAGTCTGTTATCTATTCTGTCATTAAAAGTGCATTGACAGGTCCCCAAAGGTATTCAAAATCACTAGACTCTATTTTGTTAGACATTAGAATTTAAATTAATTATTTAAAGAAATTGACTTGATAGAATATTTTTACAGAGGGCACTGATTTTTCCATTAATAAACTGCAGCTAAACTCACAGGTATTCATATTTTCTTTTTTTGTGTTAAACTGCAACAATACTTCTTATTTATTTTATGACTCTATGATGTGGGACAGGACAAGTTGATTATAGTTTCAGTTCAAGTTGATTTGCAAAGGAACAAAAATACCTAGTGGCAATCTATTTTTTTAAAAAAAACAGCAATTAATTTTAATTGCTTATCACTATTCGTCTTTGTTAAATTATCACACTAATATATTTTTCTTTATATGATTTTTCTCCTCAGCAGAATTCAGTCATATTAAAAATCTGAAATAAGAAATGACAAATTCTCTAAGCTATAACATTAATTTCTTTTACTGAACCTGTCAAATCATTAAATACTGGGAAATATCTATTAATAAAAGAGCAAGACATATAGCTCAGTAAATATTCATTCATATTTTGTTAATATTAACAGTATATTTTACACTGCACTTACATTTCTCATTTCATTTGAGTTTGAAAATTATTATTATTTCCTGAAGCCAGGCTAAATATAAAAGTACTATCTAATAATGAATATTCATGCACACAAACATATCTTATGTATATATGTCCAGATAGATATTCATAATATAATCTGTCAATATGGTCCTATAAAATAGAATATGAAATCATGGTTCTAGTTATGTTTGCCACTGGATTATCTGGATTAGAAGTATTTTTCACTAAAATAGCACCAATCAATGTTAATTTTTGTGATTGAGTCTAAATGCATAGAACTAAATGAAGTGAATAGAATTGATCAGTCTAATGTCTTTCTATTTTAAGAATTTAAGTAAAATTACCACAATTTGATAATCAGTGTCTATAATAAATTTTAAATAATCATTTTTGATAGTCCCTACAGAATATTTTCATTCCAAAATTTATCTTTCTCCCTATTACTAATCTACATCTTTCCAGAGTAACAAAGGTAGAACTGCTGCTAAAAAATAAAACACACCACATTTATTTCAAAGCATCTCTGGTTTATATGTAGCAGTCCAATGCTCAGATTTAGCCTTCTCTCAAGATTGTCACATCTGTCACACAGAACCAGAGAGAGGAGACTAAATTATACCTCAGCGTTCTCTATAGATTTATTCTTCTACATAGGGATAAGACATCAACTTATTGTCTGTTTCCTCTCTGCAATAAAATTATCTCAAGGAATATAGAAAATTTTGTTAACCTATCCTTAGAAATAATATTGTCATAACAAATTAGATTGTTTCTGAATCAACTCATATACAAGATTCGCAGTGTGTATAGTTGAGTCATAGGGATCTCTCTAATGTGAAGCTATGTGAACATTTTATCTTTTATGATATTAAATATATTTTAAGATACATATTTTTCATAAAAATTTAACATAGTATAGTAAGTTATGCTTTAAACATCTATAGTTTTCTTCTCTTAATGGCTCAAATATTTAAGACACGAACTACTTTTGCATAACATTTTCTGAAAAGACAGTATATGCACTCCCTTTTGAAGTAAAACTATTTCTTCATTAAGAAGAACATATTCCAATTCAGGAATTTAGTGTGTCAAAAACTGAGTGGATTGAGAGCACAATGTTATTTGCTCTAATAAAAATACTTTCCAACTTGATCCTGGGTTCTTGTTAGTCATGTTTGTGTTTGTCTCCTACTGCAACACAGTGTGATGGAAAGCAGGAACCATTTCTTATCCATTTTATGGTTTTCTAATACTTTTTATATAGTGGGTACTTTATAATTATAATTATCTGGTTAATTTGTTGAATATAGGCATTCATGCAATGAAGTTAACTTCATCATTCTTCAAAGACAAATAAAATGAAGATCATTACTTACACTTAGAGCCAGATGAAGATCCACTGACAGCAGATCTTGATCCCCCTTTCATGGAAAAGACTCCTTTTCCCCTGCGAGTTGCTGTGACAGCCACTCTGGGACGCTTCAGCGGAATAACTGCACGAGGTGGTGGGGGTACACGCCCATGGTAATCAAATAACCTTTACAAAACATAAATGGGGTTGAGGGTTGGTTTGATGCTTACGTGTTCTACCAAATGCACAAAGTTTAAGAGAATGGCCTGGTAGAAAATTTCAATAAATGTTTTTTTTTTTTTTTTTTGCCATTGTTCTCTAATATTCAGATGCTGGTGTTTATTGACAGATTCGTTTTTCACTAAGCAAATAAGATGTTAATATAGTCTATGTTTTCTGGACATTAGAATCCAACCCCCAATATGAACTATCTGTAAGGTATAAAAGTACAAGGAGTTTTGCTCCAACAATATCATATAATTTGTTGAAATCATGCTGACCTTTGTTCCCAAATATATTTCTTTGCCTGGATTAACAGAGTGGCCATTCTTATAAAGAGAAATCTTCCTCTTATCCATCAGACACTTATTAGCACACTGATTTGAAAAGAAGAAAAGATCATGCAAAATAGGAATAAAGTAATAAAATTATTGTTTGATCAGAAAACAGAACTCACAGGGAAAAATATATGGAAGACACCCAGTTTAAAGAAAACAGCGATGAGAGACAAATCAATATGGTGCTTCACTTCTCTCTAAGAGCATTTTAAGTAATAAAAAGTTCCTCTGACTGGAAAAAGGAGACCGAGTTTTAATGACATGGAACTAATATGAGGAAAAACTTTACTGACTCAAGTACTGGTAGAAAATATTTTTCAGGATATCTTTTTATTACTCTGACAATTTGCTAGATGTGCAAATTGAGACTAGAGTTATTTTTATAGTTTGCTATTGAAAATTTCTTTAACAAATCTGTAAAGCTTATAACTCTTCTAAAAAGTAATATTAACTACAATAAATTCATTTCCATTAAACAATGAAAGGAATCAAAATATAAGTGCTAACTCATTTATATAAACATGCAATTTATACATTCAAAAACCTCATATAATTTATACTACATACACATATACAACAAATGCTTACATGATAGCACATTTAAAAAGCATAAAAGGTCAAAGAAAAATTACTGGAATACATTTATTCATTTAAAAAAACTATTTGCCAGTAAATTAAATGCATGATTACATTATACATAAAGAAAATAGCATTATTGACAGAATTATGATTGTGTCATATGTTTTTGTGACATTATTATATGAATCACAGTCTTGGAATTGCTTTAAGACAGTCAATAAAATAATCTAATATGAAAGTCATAAAGGAGAAAACTAGAGCAGGAAGAAAATAATAAAAAATAACTTCTATCTTTTGTAATAGGTTATTTCATAAAATTACATCTTGTTTACACATACAGATAAAAATGTGATCATCTCTTTTTATGAAACAATGTATGAAATATAATAAGAATTAGGATGGACTAGTTTCCAGTTATTCATTCAGAGACATTTGAAGCTATTACACTATGGGGAGAGGAAACACTATTTAAGCCAAATTTAAAGCAGAACTCCTAAGTCCTAGGAATATCTCCTACATTAGAGAGCAAAAGTGTTCAAAATGATTTAGAACATGCTGTGGAAAAACTAAGAGATGTCTGAGAAGAAAAAGAAATGAAACGAGACAGAGTTCAAGGTAGGTGCCATCCTCTGCGAATAAGCAAAGTCCATTAGAGCTGAAGAGCTGCTAGCACAGAACAGGTCATGGATGTCAACACATTATAGTTTACTTCAAAGAGTATAGGCAGGATGAGGCTGAACAGGGTTACCGCTATCAACTATGCCCCTAGGGGCTTGAGAATCAAAAGGGTCAACTAAACCTGCCCCTCATTTCAATCACAAAACAAGGTCTACAGTAGTTATTTATAAGTTGAATTCACAGAGCACCTTAAGTCAGTGAACCAAAATACAAAGGCACTTTGCATGAGCTATAACACCCAAAACTATCGAGCGTAAAGAAAATATGGCAATTGACTGATCTCTTCCAGGGCAGAAGTTGCCACTTGAGATAAAAGGCAAGCTCTTTCAGCAGGACCATTTCCTGTGGCCACCAATGTGCATTTTAACAGGTTCATTAAATAAACTAATCTATAAATTAGATTAAGAAAATCTCTAAAGCACAACCAAATATATAATGATGTAAGAATGATATAGTGAAAATGCAGGCAATAAAAAAGTCACCATATTCGTTGCTATTTTAATTACAATGTAATTCAATACTATTTTATAGGAAACCAAAATGTTTATCAATATTTCTATTGCTTCCCCCAGCTCAGGATTACAAAGCCTGCAACATTGACAAAGCCTGATCTTATATTGAGAAAAGAGAGTTGCACTTGCTTATTGTATTTGTGAAATACTTTTAGTATGGGGCACACATTTCAGTAGCATACTTAGTGTGTGTGTTTCCTTTGGTGTAAATTCCTGTGGGGAGTGGCCCTTGTTCTCTGAATGTTTTTGTGAGTTGCTTCAAAGGCAGATGACTCTTTTCTCACTGAGGAACAGGTAAGGCCTTACAAATTATTTTTTCTACTCTAATGGGAAGATAGGCAGTACCAGAACTTAAATATTTTAATGTGATACGTAATTCACAAGACAGAAAACAAGAAAAGTATGGGCACCACACAAGAGCATCACTTTAAATTTTACAACATTTAATGGAGACAGAGACTTTTTAAATGCTCATTGCACAGTTTTGAGTTTATTAGAATTACAAGAAAGGAAGACTGGATGTTGTTGTAATGCATAAAAGATCAGACAAGAAGGGGAAGGGGTGCAGGTTTTCTACAATTGCAAGATGTGAAATAAGAGTTCTTCTAAATGTGGATGGAAGTATTTGAAAAGCAGCCCAAGAAAGAGACAAGCATTGGCTTTCTCATCTGAATTCTGCAAAGAAACTTTGCCTTTAAAAAAATATTAGATTAGCAGATAGTGCTGAGTTCTAAGAAGGTAGTCCATTTAAGATTATAGACTGACAACAAAAATGTCAATTCAACAGCATTAAATAGAACTAAATCTCAAAGGTCAGTTAAAAGTTTTAAGTTTCTTCCTTCCTCCCTCCTATTTTTTTTTTTTTTTTGTTGTTGTTCCTTACACTTTTAAAACTATATTTCCTTCTCTTCCCTGAGTGGGCCTTAATTTTTCCTAATATTTCTTCCTCAGAATAATTTTCTTCCTAATACTTACTCATTAACTACTTAATGGAGACAGAGACTTTTATGGTTTATAATGAAGTCAAACATAATTCTTCCTTTCCCAAGGTTCATTTTACAATGAAAACTCTAAAAGACCTTCAGCCAAGTAGTAAATGAAATAAATACAGTCAGATTTTAATAAAAGAAACCCATGAAGCAAATTTGAGAATTTATTTTTTTAATTAAATAAACATTTCTATTTTCCTTTTCTTGTTTTGACTTTTGTTATCTTTAAATAATATCTGAGATATTTAATTTTATACTCTAGTGAAAGCTAACAACTGGTAATATTAATTTACTTAATAAAATAGACATACATTTTCTCTAGAAAGAATAAGGATATTTGATTTCATCCAGTGTCCTTAAAAAAATGAATGAACAAAGGCCAATTTAATGGTATACTAACATAAAATATGAATATAATTTTGAATGCCTTTAAAATTAAGAGCTTGTTATTACTAAGCTTTGACAATAATAAAGATTGGGGAAAAAATACATGAAGAAAGCTATAACTCAACCTCAGAACCTAAAACCACTACTATAATCCTCTAATCCTTTTTTCTGTTAGCACCCATATTTTTCACATAATTGAAAACATAATATATGTACAGTCATGTATTCTAGTTAGTTCTTTTTGGTTTACATTAAAAACATTTCTCAGGCCTGCTAAATGATCTTCTTAATGTTTGTTTTAACTGCTTTGGTGCGTTTTCTCAAGTAGATATACTATATTCTAATAAATCATTACCTGATCGTTGGGCTTTTGATTTGATGCTTATTTTTCACTGCAAACTAACATGATTTTAAAAGCAATTAAAAAATTGAAATGTAATGTGTTCATAGTATTTCATCATTGAATATTAAATTTCCATTTTAGACTTATTGTAAAGAATTTTCTGGTAATTACCTGTTTTCTTTTAAATTGCCTTCATGAAACTAATTCATTTTCCCTACTCATGAATCAAAACTTTTGGTCACTATGTAGTGAATACTAACGAAAATATAAGGTCTGCACCAGGAGTCTGAATCTCTGGGTTACCCAGAGGCAAAACCTGAGAATAAGTCCAGGGTCATATTCTCACCAAGATCTTTTGGTAGATATAAAAGATCAATAGCCAGAGTACCAGAGAAGATCTTGCCTCATGTCTTGATTCAGTCTCAAGCCTTTCTTCTCAACATGCTTTACTTTGACAAACTTTTAGTTTACAAAATCAAACTTAGGTGCCTGTTCATTTGTAAGAAAGGATACATTTGAAAGTCACATTAATGAACTCTGTCTATAAATTTCACTCTTACTTCAAATACATTTTTGGTTGCAACTGAATCAAAAAATAATTTTAAAAGGCACGCTCTATCCAAGATCAGTAAATGGATAATTTCTGTTGCTTCTTTTTTAACTTAAAAATTTTCAAGGTTTTTTTGTGAATTGTTTCCTCTGCTATGCAAATACTTCTTGAACATGCTTTCAAAGGTAAGTTGATTGCAATCTTGAATGATCTCTTTTGCAATATTTGATCTTAATGTTATCTTTATATTTTGCCCAGTGTTCCATATTTTGTATATATCTTTGTGTAAATGAAAAATTGATACATTCAAATGGCCATTGTAAGGTTATAAAGCACTACATTTCATTCTTACAATTCTATAAGGTTAGTATTATTAAAGCCATTTTTACCCATGGAAAAAACTGGCAAAAAAGAAAAGAGACAACTTCCCCAAGTTTAACCAGTCAACACATGTAGGCCTGCAATCTATGTCTTCTGACTACAAATCATACTCTTTGTCAACTCTCATGCTGTAATTTTCCAAAATTTTACATGGAAAACCTTTTTACCAGATGATAATTCAAATTTGCACAACAAAACAGACATTGTTTC